CCTGCTGAATTGCAGTTTCAAACAAGGAAAACCTCCCCTCTTGTTGCTAATAGGATTTAATATACTTCAGTGTGCTCTCGGAGTCAAAATGTTTAAATTTCATTTCTGTCTCAAAAGAATGAGAGCACAGTGTGTTTAAACTGATCTATGAAAATGAAAGGGGTTTGGTTTTTTTTTTTTTGTTTTCTTCCACAAAGATACTAACTTTTCTGTCAGTAATTCCAAACATAATTGAATTTAGTTTTGATATACTGGATGTCCGTTCAGGAAGGTGCAGGTCAAATGAGATTTCTTGCAGCTCCTTGCTTAGTTTGAATGAAAAGCTTGCTGCATGTTATGGGACGTTTAAAGAGTTCTAACCCTTCAGGGGTGGATGTTGCTAATGCAGAACTGCAAATGCATGAACTCATGTCAGCTCTCAGTTAACAATGTCAGCAGTATATACCTTCCAGCCCTCAATTCTGAAGGGGAGCAGGCACTGCAGTGCAGGAGCATGAGATGAAAAGGATCTTCTAGATCTTTGAGTGCCCACTTGCCAGGTATCACACTGTAAGTTCCAGTTTGTGTTAGTGAGGCATTTTCCCTGTCTCCAGCTCTTCCAAAACCTCACTGCTGTCCCATGCTTAACAACCTCTGTAATTTCCAGTGCTCATTAGTTTATGGGAAGTTTATGCCAATGTATTCTTGGACTATATTTCACCAAAGATCAAGCGGGAGTTTTCCTGCCTCATGCCTCTGTCTCTCTCCAGCGTTCTGATGCGTTTCCAGAAAGAGGTCATATCCTGTCAGTCTTGACTTTGCGCAGTTAAACCAGCCGACTTCTTGTAATCTCCATTCTCACAATGCATTCTCTGCTTTATCCATGTGTCTCTTCTCTGCACTTGTTTGTGTTTTCACTTAGCTTTTCAAAATGTGTGTCACTAGCACTATACACTCTTCTTCCAGGTGAGATTGTGGTGATGTGTAGTAAGCAGTATTTCCTATCTTGACTGGCAGTATGTGATATAGCATACTTCTCTTTGTATAGTGCAACCTACTGGCATCCTAAATCACCTGATACACCAGGCTGCCTTTTTCTCAGTTGTCAGCTAAAGATCTTCCAGTTCATAGCAAAGATAGCTTTGAATTATGTGATCTTTCAATTAGTAATACAAAGTTTCATCCTATTTCTGTTGCTGTAGTTTATGACTGTTATTACTCCCCAAGTGCATGCTGATGCATTTAGTAATGTTGAATTTCATTCCATTTCTGTTACTCCACTCCGCAAAATCACATGGTGCTCTCTTATGATATCCCAATGCTCCTCCACAATGTTAATGCCTCCAAACTATAGCACAATCCCAAGGGATGTTTTCGGTTTTGACAGCCTTATGTGGAGTTTCAATGGTCTTTTATGTTACCATCCAAATTGTTACTCATAATAGTCATGCCTGAGTGCCTTTTTCACAGCTTATAGTAGTGAATCGGGGCCTCCTTCATGAGTCATTATGAGCCCTCTCAGTCTTTCCCACTTTGTGTTGGTGATTGTCATTGACTTTCGGAGTTGAATGGGAATATCCATGGGTTGAATTGGTCCCCAGTACGTTTGGGTAAATAAGTGGCAACATCATTGCATTTGTTCTCATTGCCAATGGTAATTCAACCATAATCTGCAAAGCAAATGAAATAACAGCAGCAGTAATTGAATTTGCTAAGGCTTTTCTACTCTGTAATAAAATTACTTTTGTTCAAATCAGTTAGACAGTAGCAAGCCCCTGGCCTTTGCATTGTCTCTGGATTCTTGGGAATAAACAAGTTTGTGCTAAATCGCGGCTGTTTAAAAATTCAGCTCTGGAAAGGATCATTTTCATTCATTTTTCAATTGCCAGGTGGACACTCTAATACAAACTCCATATCCGTTTCTTCCAGAGCATGCAATGTGGCACGTGCATTATACAACTAATACACAACACATAAAACATACTTTCATGAAAAAAATAAATATTTAGCAAATGCCCTTAATCTGTACTTAATTTAATTTGTTTATCACCTGGTATTTTCTTTTTCTGGGTTGTATTGCATTGTCTGTGGCTAATGTGTCAATGTTTTTTAGTCCCACACTGAGTATAATGCAATCAGTACCGATACAGAAATATCAAGACAAGAACAATTATTATTATTATCATTGTCATTATTACTAGTGTGATAGACTGTCAGGTTTGACAGTGCTGCTGCTGTGAGTAGTCTATGCTAAATCTCTTAAGTAATTCAAATACCCTAAACAGGTGAAAACAAATGACAGCTGGCTTCAGTGCGGTGGCATATTTTAAGGACTGGGGTGTTGTTTTTTTCAGAGATCTAAAGTAGAAAGCAAATTCTGTTGTGGCTCAGGTCTGTGGTCAGCATGAAAACACTTTTGCACATCTAGCCTGACTTTTTTTTTTTCTTGTCCTTAATGGAGCAGCAAGGCTAGAGTGCCTCTAGCCTCTTTTTCACCAAGAAATTGGAGAGAAAACAGAGGAAGCATCATACCTCGTCCTCCACGCAGAACTGAGCTCGGAGCGTGCAGGACCCATGGGCAGCACCTGCCTCTCCCACGTTTCCTAACAAAGCAGACTCAGGAGTCCTGCAGCCTGTGTGCTCTCTATGTTCCCCTGGAAAAGGAGCTATTTGGCTGTTCCCTTAATACAGTGTGTTTGCCTCTGTGTGAGTGAGCCATGGGAAAAGACAGAGCTGCTTTGAGGAGCAGGTCCCTCCAGGCTGGGTTTGTTAATGGTCTGTTCATTTTCCTCTGTTGTGGCTGCAAGAGAAGGGTAAAACTAAGCTCAAATACAAAACCCACCATATGATACATGTACGCTTATACCTCCACAAATTATACATTGGACTCAAGTGGGCTTTCTGCATCAGGGTAAACTTTGTGTGGAAGCCAAAGAAGAAGGAACCAAGTATTTCAGATCAACGTTCCAACCACTTAACGTTGTTCATTTCTTATGTGGAATATATGTTAGATTAAATAACGGCAGTGCAGTGTTGGATTATTTTGAATGAGTTAAAAAGACCCCTTGTTTGAAACGGACTGAGCACCAATTACAGCCTTTGTCCCTCTGTTCCAGTGAAGCAGCTTGTGATCCTTAGCCTAGACGATGCTTCAAGTTCATAACCACTCACAAAACTGAGAAATGCTGACCTTCTCCTGATCATTCAGCTTTCAGTTTAAGCAAGCATTTGCTTTTCTTCTGTTTTTTTTTCCCCTCTGAGCATCTCATTCCTGGAAGGAAATGAATCTTATGTGGTCCATATGATATTTTCCTACTAAAGTTTTTTTTATACCATAACAATTGATGGAAAATATTTGGTAGAGAAAGAAGATACAGTCTGTCAGGATGTTGCTAGTTTTCTGTAAATCAAAGCCAGGACCTGCAGAAAAACACATAGTGAAGAAAAGGCTTAGATAGTTACTTATTTCGAAAACTTCAAATAAAAAGTCCCGGAGTAATGTTAAATTCAAATAATGTTGAAATATTTTTTTTCCCCTTAGTTTTTTATCTTAAAAAAAGAAACATTTTAGTCTTCCAAGTCAGACTTACGGTAACGTCTTAACCACAGCATGCCAAAGCTGTTAGGTTATTTTAAAGTTTTAGCCAGAATCTGGACGTTTGTGCAAAGTACTCCCTCTTCCAATACAAAACAAAATAGTTGCTTGAATAGTCTTTGCAGTGCTGTAATTTTTAAGGCTTTAAAAAAAAAAAAACACACACAAAAAAACCCAACAAAGAATGTAGTTTTTGTTGGGATTTTTTACAAGACTTTTCCTTGGTATGTTGTAAACATCCACAGCCTTTTCTTGTGAAAATCTTTTTCCTTTGTTGTGCATGGGAGATAAAGTCACACAGTGCAGTTTCATGCACAGGTGTGTAACTATCAGTAATGGTTTTGGTGGAGACAGGCATTAATAAGGGATTGCTAGTAACCACTGGGCACTTAAATTTTGTCCTTCTAAAGACTCATAAATAATTTATTTTGAGTATAGTGAAGTAAAACCACAAATCCACTAACACTGCTCCGTGTCTCGCAGAAAATATGGGGCAGAATGATAGAGAAAGAAGGCAGAAAATGAAGCTGTTCTGTTGTTAAAGCCAACTGGAAGCTCATTGGGAAAACTAAAAAGTTCCTTATGTCCGCACAAACACATGCCATTACCCTGTGGGAAACTGTTTGCTGGCATGAAGGACACTTGGAAATTAAATGTAACCTCTAATGGCCCAGCATTCTATTTGTGATGCTCAGTTGCAGGCTTAGCTTTGCAAATTGTTGATATTAACTTGAACAAGCATAGCGCTATATTTATTATTCAAGAAGAGCATGTATTTGGTGTTGAGAAATAAAGCCTTTCACAGGGTTGCACATAAAGAATGTGAATAACTAATGTATGTTTATTTTGTTGATGTCCCCTAAAGATCAGTTTCATGGCTGCTTTCCTCGAGGCTTTTGCAACTTTTTTGGGAGATACTGATGGTACTTAGTGATTTTAAGGAGCAATATTACATTATGTTAAAAGCTGGATAAACCAGTCTTAAGTGCAATCACGTACCTTTATTTAACTGTCTGTGTTGTGGTATGTTCAATAGGAAGGATGCTAAAGCAAATCTCTTCTACGAATGCATCCTCATATATAAGCACACCCACAGTTGAATCTTTGTCCTGCTTTGTCAGAATACTGAATACAGAAATCAGCAAAATAAGTAAAATAATTTCCCTCTATGGAATGCTGTCAGTAATAGCACCTACACTGCAGACAAGCAGACAATCATTTTGGCATATTTTTACTCAAGTCACTTTTGGGGAAGGGTTAGCAATTCACTGGGTCATGTATTGATTATTTCCAGACAGATTGTTTTTTATTCATAGGGTGTCTTGTGGGATAACCCAACTAATACATTTTCCAGTGTGTTATACAGACCAAATGTAATCCATCCCGCAAAAAAAAAAAAAGAAAAGGTGAAAATTAGAACAACAGCCTCCCTTGCCAACAGAGTGACATCAAGAATGATGTTTCTTAGCTAGGTTTAATTTTGGAGATTGTTTATGTTGCTTTGAGTTTATTTGGGCAGTAGCAAGCATGTACCAAGTTCCTAAAAAGGAAAGTGTTCTTGAAAACTGCAGAAAAAAGATTATGTGAAGTGGAAGCCATCCAGCTGAGTATCTTCACTGTCCTTTGCAATACACTGTGCCGCTAAGGAAACGACTGAAAAAGCTTTTGGAGTCGAGGGAAAATACTTTAAATTTGTCCTTCTCAAATGGCAAACTCCATTTTAAAGGGACCTTTTGGTCAAGGTTACCCAACTAGAATGCCTAGAATGATTTCCTTAAAACATTCACTTAGGCCCCTGTGTTTAAGTGGCCTAACTCTCAGAAGTATCAGGCATCCACCAAGAAAATCCTTTGAAGGTGATAGGACCTAGAATCGCCAACCATCTCTGAAATCAGACCACCTGTACCGAGCTGTCTGAATGTAATTGTGATTGCTTCAGGCACCAGCTTTTAAACTGTTTGTTCTTTCCGCTGACAGTTGGACTTGTAGGTGCGGAGTTCAGGACTGAGGAGTGAGAGACTCCTCATCCTTCTCCTGAAGGGATGCAGTCCTTGCTGCTGTCTTCCAGCCAAAGTGTTAGGTCAACTCTTCGGTTGCTCTGGTGCTTTCTTTCCTCCTGTGGTTGTTTTTGTACACTGCTGCATTTCTTTCACAGCAGAGTCAGTATCCTCATGCTCTTTCCTAAACTGCTGCGTCATTTAATGGTTCCTGCCCTCAGCTCACACCTCCAGTCACTGCTTTTTCAGGTGAAGCTGCTGGATTCCACTTCCCATCCCCTGCAAAATGCACACGATTTTCAGTTCACCATTTTCTACCTACTTAAAATTCAGATTGTTTATGTGGAGGAATCTAGGTTTAGTTTTAGGAGCTCGACCTTCCTTGCACCCCACAAGGGACAGATAGGGCACATGTGAACAGATAGCAGCCACGTGTGCCAGAATTTTTTCTTAAATGGACACAATTTTGGGTAGATATGTTTGCTGCTGCTTTTTCAGGGTAATTTTCTCTGCCTCTCAAGAGGCAGCCCAAATCGTTTCATTTGCCTGTTGGAGCTGTCATTACCTAATTACTAAGTCTTATATTGAAGAAATAACTGTGTGAAAACACAGCAAGGAAGGAAAACGAAATACTTCTGTAATATCTCTTAACTGTAGTTTCATGTCAGTGGTTTATGCTCTCTGTGTTATGCTGGTGTCTCAGAGCATGGGACTTATTTGTGTTTGGGATCTTGTGTGTGGTTTGCCTAGTGTGTAGTAGAAAAGGGACAGGAATAGTGGTGTGTGAAATACAAAAAAAATGCTTTGTAATTTAACTGCTTGAAGGGTAAACTGATAAGCCGCGGGCAGTGCAGAACAGTCCCGCAGGGAGGATAAATGCAGGTTGTCTTCATTTCAAGGATGTTCTAAATCAGGTGAAAGATCTCAAGTAAAAGTTTGGGTCCCCAGTAACCTGCAGAAGAACCTTTATTGGAAGCAGAAAATAAAATTTGCTTAAAAAATAACGTGTCAATTCTGCACGATGTTATTTTTAACTTATGCGTTTGATGATTGATCTGTTAAAATGTACTCCTAAGGTCACATACTGCACCTTGATCTTCTCATACAGCTTCTAAGAAAATATTTCAAAGGAGTATCCCAGCTTTTGGTGAGGGATATCATAGATAGAAGCTAAGGACTTATTTAGGGCCAAATTTGTATTTCCGCATAGAGAAAGCATGGTGTAGAACACAAGGGGCTTCTGCCCAGCTCTTGTGTGTCACAGAGAAATTCATTCTGCACCTCAATTTCCCCCTTGTTAGAAGGAACAGTAAAGCTCCTGCTTTGTAAAACTCTTGAAATCTCTTGGTAAAATCCTAATTATCTGTTGTGGGCTGCAAATGAAGTTGGGCCCCCAAAATTGTGAATTCCATTGCAATTAAAGTTTGAGATTATGATAACACTTAAACATATTCTAGAAAAATACAGGGATTTCTTTCATGCTTTTTGTATTTTATTTTATAGCTGAATGGGAACTGAAAGATACCTATAAAGTGATATTTAGAAACTGATTGATACCAAATACTTCCTTCAGAGACTACTTCAGTTCATTCAGCAGCATTTATAGCCATTTTTCAGAGGCGTCATTTAAGAAAGTTGTATGCTGTCATCTTCCGCATGGTCCAAAGACTGACTTACGTTGGGAATTACAAGTTTTGAGAATAAAATGGCCGTTGTTTCCTAATTGGTAGCTGCTTTGCAATTAATTTCATTAATGCTTTAAAGTGCCTCTGAAATAATTCACTGCCTGTTGTGGCTGTATTCCTTGAAAAGCCTTGTGAAAGAGTTTACAGATCACCTAAAATAAGTAAGCATTGTCACTCTTGAAAGATGGTTTTTCAAATGCTTCATAGGAAATTGGTATCTCAAAACTGGAGTTGTGAAATAGCCTTAACTAAAGGTTTAGCCAACTAGCAAGTAAACAGAGCTAATCTGAACATTCCTATTTGTGAAACACTGAGATGGAAAACAGTACACATGTATGTTTTGACATTATTCCTGTGTTTATAAATCACTCCTGTTACACAACTGAAACAAGCACTGTTAGCAAAGCATCTGCATTTTTCCAATCTTTCAACGTAACGACCCAGATTTAGTCCATTACAGAAAAAAGTAAAAACAGCTGTTAAATATAAGCACGAAGTTTTTATGAAAAATCTAGGCTGTGCCTTGTTTTTAAGGCTCATTATGATATATTATTCACAAAGGAAACTGAACATCGTGTGCATTTACTGAACGTATTAAGTGACCACATGGTTCTGGTAACATGGTGTGGAGCAGTACTCCTGGAAATGTCATCCGTCGCGATGTATAATGGAATTTGTGTATCTGCCAAAATTGCTGCCGTGGGTACTGTATATGCATGTGAGTTATGTAGGATTGAGCACGACTGAGAAAGATCATCTGATCTGAACCCAGAGATAATGCCTGAATCCTAAAGAAGACATTGAGGTTATTTTGTATGATATAGAGCATATAGAATAGCATAGAACCAGGCCAGCAGCATCTCTGCTCATCCCAGTTTTCTAACTAACATTATTTGTTACTGTTTACTCTAGGAATGACTATACCAGAAGAAGACGCTGATGTGGGACAAGGTAGTAAATATTGCCTCGTGGCAATAGGAAGGCTTCAGGTAATGCCAGTCTTTCCTTATATAAGCTGCTTTTGAAAGCATAATCAGTCTTGTGCTTTAGGTGTAAAGGATTTGCACAAAGTTCTGGTACTAGACTGTTTTAATGTGCTTCCAAAACATGAAGTGAGTGTGCAGCCGGTGACTTGTTTAGAACATGTCAACAGAGCAAAATGACAATGTGATTTTGGTGCGTATGTGTGTTTAACCCAACAACAGCAGCGAGACGGTCCTAGAAGATGAGGGCATACAGACTTGCTATTCTCTAGGGTGCACAGGGCTGGGACATTCTAGATACTGACATACATGGGAGTACAGGTGCCACAGATGGTAGGTTAAGGTGGCTCCCAAAGCTGGTAATATGTTTCCTGCTATTCTTTCATTCGCTCGCTCGCTCTCTCTGGCTAATCAACTACTTGAAAAACTGTGATTGCAGGAGTTATTCTGAAAATGGTAAAGATAAGGCAGTCAAGAGGCACTTCACAGATAATAGCTTTATTCTCAGTGTGTATTATATTGTGCATTCAGATGTGATGTAAGCTGAAGGAACTGTGAGAAAAAAATTTTACTTCCTTTTTGTCCAGATGGTTGCAATTGATGTATTACATTTTTCTTTCTTTGTCCATTGCTGACGAGAGTTCTGAGCGGGAGCTAGAGCAGTCACAGTGAATCTCCTTCACTGCAGCAGGGAGGCTAGTTTTTATCTTCCCAGTCTGGGAATTCTGCCATGGGCGAACGTGTTTGAGCCTGCTGCATGATCTCCTGTTGGCCTCCACTCGTTGCCATCTGCCAGGATGGCATCGCTCCTTCTGACAAGGTAGCATGACCCTTTCATTAGAGCACAGGTGCCCATCTTGTCTGAGGTGAACAGCCTGCACGTTACCACAAGTGTTAGCATTTGCCATTGCAATGGCAGAGCTGCGAAGTATCACATGATGGTTTTTAGGTTAATCGTGCTTTTATGATTGAGGGTAATACATTCCACTAATGGAGAAAAGGAAGTTATGGGGCTTCATATGTTATAGCTGCCAAAGAAAGATGATTTCCAAGAAAATAACATGTCAAAACATCTGTTACATTAGAAGAGCCAGCAGGGTCTGAGGGAGGGCAAGAAGAGGCTCTGTGGATGGGTTTAATCACAAAGGAGTCAAGGTGCACAAATGAAAAACTCTGTTCTGCAGCAGCAAATTGAAGTCTTGCATACAGTTAACTGGCTAATCTGCTTCAAGACAGCAAAAAAATGAGATTTTGTTCTTTTTGCATTGGGACCTTGTTAACAGATAGCTTTGGAGGTTGCAAGAAAAACAATGGTCTCATTTGTAGCCCCAGTAGGAGTGAATGGATATGAAGTGACCTGATTACACAGGTTTTAGGCAGAGAGCTGGAAATGCATCGTTGTCTCTGACGGAGCGTTTATAGGAGGACTGTGTTTTTTCACTACAAGCAGCCACTTGGTGGCCTAATATCACCTTACCTCAACCTCTGGAGAACTTCAGGTTCAGGTTCTCTGTGTGTTTCTGGTGAGGTTCATCTCACCTGAAAGTTGAGTGTTTAGTCTGAGCACTCCTGTTGGATATGTCTACAGATAATGAGTTGGCCTCTTCTAGGGATTGACCTTCCTATCTTAAAACGTGTGGACTCAATTATCCTCTGCTAGTCTCTAATTCTTGGTTCACAAAAGCAGGAACGAAGATGCCTAACTTTAATGTGATGCCACAAAGTGAGATGAATACAGCTGTACTTATATCTTTATTATATCCGTGCTTCTTGGGAACTTCTGGTGTATTTGTTTTCCTGCTGTGCTGTTAAGCCTAGGTAGGTACTACGGGGTGAGGTATTTGCCCTGCAAACTAGACTAAAGGCTGTTCTGTATCATTCATCTGTGCTGTTGTTTTATTTATTACTTCCTTCAGTAGTTAGCAGCCCGTGAACAGGTTTTGTTCTTTAGCTGTGTAATCAAATTTGACTTAAGGTCAAACTGTTCTGTGAACTAAATACTGTGGATTTCATTGGTCCTAGGTAACCAGCTCTCCAGTGTGCATGGACATGAACGGCATGTCGGTCCCCACTGAGTTCTTATCAAGGCACAATTCTGATGGAGTCATCACCTTCGTTGACCCAAGGTGCATCAGCGTCATTGGCTACCAGCCCCAGGTCAGTGAGTCACTGGAAATGCAGAGACCGGTTAATGAATAATATTTGCACATTAAAAACAAAAGCAGCAAAACATGAAATATTTGTAGCTGAAAATTCATATGTCATGCACTAAATGCTGTTCATTTTTCTTTGCTGTCCACACCTCTAAAATTTACGGTTTTCTCCTTTGTTATGTGGGCTATCTTTTTACACCTTTTAGATCCAATTAGAATTCTTAACAGCGAGGTGCTTTAAACCTTGCACAGCGTTCCAGTGAAGACGTTTCTGTCATAGAAAGTTAACAGTCCTTGGAGAGAGTTTTAGTCCTGTAGATCTTTACTACCGCCTATCTATTGAACAGTAAGCAAATATAATTTATGGCATCTATTTTCATTTAGGCATACATCTGCTCCTCTGAATAGGAGGCTAGTCACAGAACTGAGTATAAGAGTAAACGAACTCCTGACTACCACAACTTTCCCTTGAATAACTCTCAACAGTTGCAATTTAGAGGCAAAAATAATTTCTTGCTCATTTATTTTTTCCATTTATTTTTATTTTAGGTAGCTTTATAATAACTGTTCTTAAAAAAAATATTACCATAAAATGAGCTGTAGTAGAGGATATTAGTGTCTTCAAGATACAAGTTCACAGGTATTAAAAAAAATCACTTAAAATTTGTTTGTAAATACATATAACTGTGCAACAGTACAAATATAATGTGGGACGCGATGCCTGCGAACCTTGTTTGTATGATTCATCCCTGATTAACTGAGTAGTCCTATTAAGGGTGATAGATCTACTGTCTGCAAGGATTACTTGCAGATCTGCTCGTGGATTTATGCTGTGGTTTGAGTTTTTCAAACAGCTTTATGTTCTATTCTAGGATCTTCTGGGGAAAGATATTTTAGAATTCTGCCATCCTGAAGATCAAAGCCATTTGAGAGAGAGTTTCCAACAGGTGCTACGTCCTGCTCCTTTTCTTCCATAATTTATTTATTATTTTTGTTATTACTTTGTTAAGAGAAGTAGCTTTTATTTTACATTTCAAGGTATTTTTTCTGTTATGCAGGAGAAGGAGTGGCAAGATACAAAACAATTTGTTTATCAGTTAGTAATCAGTTAGGATGCATAAATGGTAATTTTAACTGCAGCATGTGTTGGCTGTATTTTCAGAAACAAGTCACCTAGTTATAAATTTTGTTTTCTTTTTACAAAAAATCAGATGAGTGTTCACTGCACAGTTTGAGCTGTTTTGGAGATGCCTGTATAGATCCCACTATGTTAAGTAGTAACTGAAAGTATTTGTCTTCCAGGATGGGTTGTGGATTTGAAAGTACCCAGCATCCCTCTCTAATGCTGGATTATTTGTGACCTAAATTCTCTGCTAGCATAGCTGACATGCTTCATATACTTTAATGGAGTTACAACCACTTTACATCAACGGAGAATTTGTCCCTTTTCCCTATTAGGAATTGAAATGCAGAGAGAAGTAACAAAAGAAATACAACATACAGAAGGAGTTACTGATTTGGATTCATTTTTAGAGTGGGCCACATTCACATCAGCTGTATCAAAGGCGTTGCTTCTGTTGTAGATCTTACTGTTTCAAATAGGTCTGGGATGTGCAGTAGGAGTGCTTTCCCTAAGCCTTCTGCTTGTTGCTAGTCTTTTCAACGCCTTCCCTGCTGCACTAGAAAGTGCGGCATAGTATGTTTAACCAACTACTGAGGTTCAGTTGATCTAAGTGGTTCCAGATTTTCTGACAACAGCCTATAGCTGAACCAAGTTTTGTTGATACATCTTGTGTTGGATGCTGAGATGTATTTTCAGCTGTGAAATGTGGATATGAAGTGACTTCTAAAATAATTCGTATAGCCAACTATTTATTCAGGCATGGCACGCAAAAATGGAGCTTCAAAAGATTCTCTGGAGAAAACAACTAAATGCTGTTCTGAGTCCATAGAATAGATTGTGAAACTGAGGTTATGGTCTCTACAAAGTGTTTGAGATAGGGGAAGATATCTTATATATATCTGCTAGCTCAAGTACTCTTGAGCTATTTCTCACCATCCCCTCCCTCAAGCAGAGACTACAAACCCCATTGCTGAGCTAACAGAAAAGACTGCATGAGCATTCTGCATCCACTTCACATCCCTTGAACACACTGAGTCCAAACAGAAGCTAAAGACCTTTTAAATTCAAGATGTTGATTCGTAGGCAGGAGCCTGTGGGAGTTGGATGTTTGAATAGGTCGCCACACCCAGTCGCCTTCTCTGCCCCACCTTGGCTGAGGGTGTGATGCTGCAGCTGAACCTACCTAATGGGTAGCTGTCATGGGGAGTCAGGTCCTACTACCTCTCTTCTCTCCTCCCTGACCTCCTCCCCACCGTTCCCGCTGTCCTGATCCTAGCACAGATGGCCTTGCCAGGTAGGCTAGCTAGGGGACTAATCAGTTTTGCATGGGGCTAGCTTTCAGCTGGTTCATCTCCCTGAACTTGTGCCTGATCACATCAGTGGCGCAAGAAGAGCCACGAGAACGCGTAGGCTGTTTTTCACTAATGCCCAAATGATTGATTTCACTAATTTATCTAAGAGACAATGACAGACAGCTGCTGGATAATAACATGTCAAACATCCATCTTTGAAGTGATTGCCTGGGGCTCAGAAGAGCCAACTACCTAACGTTCAAATTAATGACTTGATCCTTCACTCAGAGTGAGATCAGGCCGTGGGAGGCTGCTGGGGTATCCCTGAACTCAGTTGCCGGGGATTTCGCTGTCGCTGCTCTCTATTAGGTATGTGCATAAATGATTTGCTGGATCAAGGACCTACATGATTTGCTTAAGGTCATACAAAAAGGACAGGAGGAAAAAATGCAGATTAGAAGTGAAAGTTCCTGTTCACTCGACCTGTGTCCAATCTATGAAAATACTGTGCTGTTTCTTTAGTAGGCAATTCCTTTTTCGGTATATTTTTGTTCGGTACAGTAGCAGTGTGATTGGGGCTGTTATTTCAATCATGCAATAAAAGACTGAAGTAAACAGTTAAGCTATGCACCAGGTGGTTTTTATTTCCAAAGAATGTAAGAAAGTAAAGGTTAAACATTAGCTTTGAAATTTTTTGCGCTATCTTGTTTGTGTGCACTGTTTTAAGACAGTTCAGGATTTTCCCACCAATGATCTCTATGCTTTATATATTATTACAGAATTAGTGTTTGCTTAATTCAAACTTCAGGACAATAGATCACTGCAGTTTGTTTTATTATTGTTAGTTTGGCCATAGAAATCTTCATTAAAAAGGTAACTGTGGTTTTCAATAAACTCTTTTTTTTCTAAAACCCTCTGAAAACTTGACATTTCTGATTTGCTGACAGTATCAGAATGAGGTTCATGCATAACAGGAGGGAGGGCAGGTTTTGCAGTTTTTGGTCAATTGCCAGTATCCATCTCAAAACTTTTACTTCCTTGGGAAGATAAATTCATTCATCGGGGTGGGAAAATCAGGCCAGAGTAAGAAAATCTCAAGGCCAAGATCAACAAATACAGTTTAGTATCAAAGGATCCAGAATACAGCTATTTGATATCCACCAGGATGCTATTCAGATTGGACACTTTTACACAAGCTCTGTGTTTTTTACCTTGGGTGTGGTAGTAGAAAATTACTGATAAAAGGATGTTGCTCACAACTCAAACTACAAAAGCATTTTTAAAAAAAACCCAAAAGGCATTTACCTCAGTATTATTTTGAACTTTCCTGGGTATTGCTAAAGCTTTTTGTGTCTTCTGTTTGCATTCTTTCAATTTAATCCTGTACCCAGTTGATCAGTTTGAAATGCAGACCTTTGGAAAAAACAGGATTGGAACATTTTTCCTAATCCGGTTGTTTTCGATAAAGACAGAGGGTAAATACTGGGTTTTCTACTTTTAGAGAATACAGGCTGCAGATAGCTAATAAAAAATAGATTCCAGTGGATAAGGATTAAGAATCTACAATGAGATGTGGCATTTATTTGTGGTAGACCTTTCCTTCCCTGAGGCACCCCTGAGGTAGCATGGTGGAAAAGAATAAAAAATAAGCAGAGATAGCTCAGGTAAGTGCCAGATGAATGACTTGAAGCTATCTAAGTTTTCTTCTGACTTAAACCGAGATTGTTAGATAACACATAAAATGCAGTTACAGTGCCAGTGTGCAAAGTATTGTTTTGAGTGTACTCCTTTAGCTGGCTGCTTCTTACTTCTCACTTGATGCCCAGCTATTGACTTCAACAAGATTTCAGCTACCAAAACCAGAATTTGAACTGTGTTGCCAGACATCTGAACTCTCAGTTATTAACAAATAGGCTGTCCAAGCAAAGAATTTGCTCTCCATTTTCTTTAATACTATTAAAATGAACAGTGGCTTATTTGTGTTCTCTCCATTCAAACACTGGTTCATTCTTTCCTCTTTTGAAGAAAGTGTTTCTTGTTAGCACTTTACCATCCTAGGGAGTCTTATAATGTGTTTGGGGGGGAAAAAACCCCCAACCACATATGGTTTCTAAAAAAACCTCCACCATCCTGTTTAAGTATTATCCTAAATTTTGATGCTGAAGTATGATTTGGTATGTCACATAGATGAATTGTATAGCTAGGTATCCAAGCAGATAGTCAACCTCAAAATGTTTTTTCTAGTGGGCATTTGTTTCAGCTGCAGCATTTGGTTTATAGTTTACATAGAAATACTTGATTTCTGTCAATCTTTCTTGATAAGCATCCCACATTAAACCCTTCTTAAAGCTTCCCTGTTGGGATAACAGCACAACATGTTGGTTGTCCTGAATCTGTATTCTTCTTTCTGCAGGCTGGAAAATGGCATTTTATACAACAAAGCATGAAGGTTTCTTTCTGAAGGAGATAGCTGCAAACATGAATCAGATTTTCCTTATTCTCTTTAAATTAGGAATTGCCATGCTGTGTCCAAAGCGTTCTGTAATTTAAGTTTAAAACACACCAGTTACTGCTGTTTACTATTCATTTGCACAGCAGGTAGCAATCTCCTTTTATTAACCCTTCCAAATGGTTTTGCAGGTTGTGAAACTGAAAGGTCAAGTCCTGTCTGTCATGTATCGTTTTCGTACCAAAAACCGGGAATGGATGCTGATCAGAACCAGCAGCTTCACATTTCAGAATCCTTATTCCGATGAGATTGAATACATCATCTGCACCAACACTAATGTAAAGTATGTGCCTTTCAGATGCTCACATACCTGGTTTTGAAAGAATTTAAGCATTGCATTTTGCTGTAAATACATTACGGATTTTGTGGTAGCCTGTTTCTTGCTCCATTTGTTTCCCCGTTAACAGTACAGTCTGTAACAGGGTTTTTTCTGCATCATGAGATCTCACAGCATAGCTGTTTCTCTGTGTCATTATCCTGCAATGCTTCCAGTGCCTGGCTGCATCGGAGCAGAAATGTCACTTATCTGTTATGTCATTAGACGAGCCCACTGATCTCGGTCCAGGCTGCCTTAAACTAGCACAGAGCTTCCAGCAGCAGGCCAGCTGTCCTGATATTGGAGGAAGGTTAGGCTGATTCCTAAGCCAAAGAGAAAATTGCATGTCCGTGTTCACTGTGATCATACCATGCCATAGTCATGCGCACCTTCTGCTTGGGCTGTGTCCACTTTTACGACCTCTGAAAGCTGTCAAAATTATTTCCTAGTAGGCTTGAGTGGGAAGGGTTCCTGATACTCAGTTAAGATCTGGTGGAATATCCCTAAGTATGGGGACAGATCCAACCTCTTATCTTAAGAGGGGGAATAAATCATCCTGTCTTTGAATTAATATTTTCAAAAATCTGTTACTTGACCTATTGGAAGGAGGTTACCCTCCTAGGAGGTTACCTAGGAGTACAGTGGAGGTTCGTTGCTGTGTAACTAAGCAGGGATGCTTTTGGAGTCTCCTGAGTTCTGAGCCAGTAACTGCAGAAGCTAATCTGGTAAAACCATTGCTTTATAGTGTGGGGTTTTTTTATAAATAGTTCTTCTTTCCAATATAAACTTAATCTATTTCTAAAACAAAATCTGCCTCTGGTCTGACCAGAGTTTTTTTGCCAAGTTTTTAGCTCAGAGGAAATTATTGGTTTTAAGATCTCAACGTGTTAGACTGTATAATGGAAATGCTGAACGAGCAGTCTACTAGTGGAGATGCATGCTGAGAGCTCCGCTTGCAAAACCAAACCCCTGGGGCTTTGGCATTTGAAGTTAGAAAGCTAGTAAGTGTCTCTGGGTGTTCCTTCACTTGCTCCTTTGGACATGACACATACCTGGGCTAGAAGGGCTATGTTTTCACTCACTTGAAAGCCAGCATCACAATCATTTTGCTCAGTTTTTTCTGCATACCTAAAAAGTTGGGCTTAAACAACTGAAAAGTTAAGCTCATTGAAAACAAGCAATGTGTCTTGAAATCGGACAGCTAAATATCTTCCTGTCTGCACTGTGCATCAAAATAGATATTTCCACATTTCTGCTGTCCCGTATTTCTTTTCCAAATAATTTGTATATGCAAAAACAGGCTTCAAAATAAAAAGCAACTTCTGAAATCTGTCCCAGGCTGGCTTAATTGTGCTTTGTTCCCAGAAGTCCGCAGATCAAAAAAGTGGGGCTGTAGACTTATGTTGTGTTGTCTCTGGGACTGGTTTTTTCCGAGCCTTCGCTATACCATTCAGTTTGGCATCGCAGCACTCACTGTGATGAGTAGGACTGTGCCAGCTTCTGGCTCTTGTTATATCTCTCTTGCTAGGTTTGAATAACAACCCAGAAATGTTGACCTAATATGGAATTTGCCTGCTGCTCCTTTGACAGGACGTTCCCTCTTTCCTGTCATGTTGAAAATGTTCTAGTCTTATGGCAAGATGCAGCCCATTATACATCTGCTTTTGAACAGTAGAAAGAATGCATTATTCAAACTGTTTTATGTTTTTCCCCCTGTTCTCTCCCACTTCTCAGACAGATTTCCAAAGAGGACTAACTGTAATGTACTGCTGTTCCTGGATGCTTCTGGATTTTTTTTTTTTTTTTTTTTGCACATTTGGGGTCATGTGGTGCCTTCTGATTTGCTAGATGCCTTGGGGAGTTGTATGTCATGGTAACTGTTGATTTCCAGCTCCGCGTTCAGCTCCTGCTGGGACTGGTTGTTCAGCACTGCCCCCAGTGTGCATGGCCATCTTTACGTGTCGGTGGAAGTATCAGATGCTCTGGGGTCCAGCAAAGTGCTTCACGTGGAGACCAAGCAGGGGTGCCTTCCACTACGCAGTTGTAGGCAGTTCTGCACAGAGACAAATTGTGATAACCTAGCCAGCTCCATAGAATACATGTTTGAGGCAGTTAAAAATTGAGCATGAAATTGTACAGACAATGTTTAAGGCTTAAATCAGTTTTTGACGTAGGGTAGTTTAAAGCCACAGTACCTATGTCTGTGTGTGTGTGTCTGTTAACGGAATAGCTCTCATTTTGAGTTGGTCGGTGAACAGCGTTTTCCCAAAAGACTGTAGAGGGCAGTGGTGGTTCCAGTTGCGGAGGAATTAATTTATTTTTTTGTTGTTGGTTTGGTTGGGTTGGTTTGTTTTGTTTCTTTTTCTTTCTTTTTTTTTTTTTTAAAGATACTCCTTTGAAGCTTCAAACAGTCAACTTTCCAAAATTGCTTTTAGTGCGGAAGGATAACGAAACATTAGGTTCAAATGTTCACTTAGTTCCTTGCAAAAAAAGAAAACTTCTCTGAGTTTCACTTGGGTGTAATCATCCAAGAGAAACTTCCTGGAGAAGTGAAGCATTTAGCGTTTAGCATTTGTGCTGTGTTCGGCTGAAAAGACAAGTCCCCCGTTTGACCACATCTTCCTGTGTAGTTGGGACTGTTTGATTTCCAAAAAGAAATAATAGTTGTGATACACATAGAGCAGCGTTTGACTAAAATAATCTGTCATGGTGACAGATAAAACTATCTAAAAGTCTTTATTTTTATATATATATATATATGAAAGATCTTTTTCTGACCTTTATGGAAATGGAAATTCTGATGTTTCATTTTTGTAAGCCCTGGAGTCCTATGGTGCACTGCGTGCCTTTATGAATCCTACAGTTGTCCTGAGTCTCAAGACTTTTTGTCCTGGAGTGAGCTGGCACAGGTCACTGCTGGAGGCTGCCTGCTGGATGAATCAGCCCAAGCTTGTGGGAGAGACGCTTTCTGATTGGGATTCTCATGGGCCAAAATACTAAAGAGGTCAACTATTCTGATAAAATTCCAGTCTGTGGTAGTGGTGCTAAAAACTTACTTGGTCCCTGTGCCATCTGTGGGCTATCTGATCCCTTAAGGCTGGTGTTACACAGACCCTTTCACAGGAGTGAATTGAAGTGTAGGCTAGAAGAGGAAGATTTTGAGAGTTTCTGAAAGAGGATTTTACAATGGCAGCCCAAAGGCTTTTATTACTCCCTTTTTGCCCAAAACAGACGCAGGAAGCACATGTGCTTGTATTACATAAAAATAGCTTGGTAGGGATATGGTAGTGTTGTTTCTCTCCCAACATAGAGAGTGTTAATTTTAAAGTTCAAATCCTTTTGTGGTTATTCTGGTGCCTGGAAAAGGAACAGGTGGCTTCAGTGTTCATAGAGATTAATTTGGCTGAAATCCTCTCCAGTGTCAAAGAAACTTTCACAGAACCTTCCCTTTTCCTCCAAATATATTTACTGAAGTAAATTTGAATTAACTGTCAAAACCTTCAGATTCACTGAACCATTCCTTCTTCAAGCCAAGGGCTTTCCCAGTTTTATACTGAATCTGTGGGTGAGCCAGGAGTTCCTCCAGTACAGGCAGAGTCCTCCATTGACCCAGACAGTACCTTACTGGCTATGTTGGGTATCCTGTAGAGCCAGGAAATTTCTCTTTCATTTACTCCTTGAAGCTGTGAAATTGAAATTGAAACCAAGGGTAGCTTGGGGTTTGGTTTCAAAGTCAGAAGGCAGTTTGAGTTTTGCCCAAACTGGTAATAAGCTCTTGTTCTGTATCGTCTTTACAAAAATTTATCTAGCAGTTGGATGACTGAAGGGACCTGCAGGTGCTGACCGTTCAGTCAAAAGGGCTGGTTGGGCGGCAGGGCCTGAAACAACCACGACAGCAGCGCTCAGCTCTCCCTGGTCCGCTGGTCCATGAATTGCTGCACAGTTTCTTTCAGGTTTGAAGCATCATTTCAACTACTTATACAGTAGCAGCAAACAAAAGCAGAAGATGCTAACCTGGCTTTGCATTTCAGTCGTAATTAAGTGCGGCATAGCTTGCACAGAGTTCAGTGAAGATACACTTAAGTATTTGGTTTTTATAGGAAATGGATTTCGGAGGTTGTTCCCAAAGTTCAGTGCTGTTAACACAGTGTGGTATTTATATTGTACTGCAGCTTAACGAGAATTAGAGATGAAAGATAGAGAAGGGCGAAGGAACACTAAGTTAAAGTGCCTGCAAAACAAATAACTAGTAAGTATGCTGTTTTGTTTGGCTCATTTGTATGTATATGGCTGAATCAGGAAAACATACTTTATACGGAACAGAAGAGACCTAATGTGCTGTTTATTGACACACGCACCAAGTCGTTGGTAATAAAAACAAATGAAACGGTGTAATTAGCTTTCACGTTAACAACAGGATTTAATGGGTGTTTATTGTCCACAGGGTGGTATTTAGAAAAACTTCCCCATAGATTTGCCATGATTAAATTACCTCCCATAGCTCTGTTGGAAAAGTATGCATCTTATGTTTGCGAACAAAGATTTTCTTTGCATTCCAGAGGTAATTTTTAGGAATTTTCTGTTGGCTAAAATAATGTGGAAAATCCATGGCTCTCTAATGACCCGGAGGACTGACTTTTTTTGCATGTTGCTCATAGGATGAAAGTGATTCTGTGTATTATGTGTTCTCACACCGTAAGGCTAACAGAAGGCTTTTTGCCATCTACTCCCATCTTCTGTTTGTTGCAGGTCCCAGATTTTTTTGTCCAGTTTGCCATGGGACCTAGTAACTGGTGTCTGAGCAAAGTGTCTTCTGGAAAAGCATCAAGGGATGGAAAAATCCGTTACTTACTTCAGTAGGTTGTTTGAGTGGTCCCCCACATTCCCGTCAGTTTGTGCCTAATTTTTCATTTGACCGACGGCAAGTTTGTCGCTCAGTCCCTTGATAATTGAATCTATCGAGCTCAAAATTTAAAAGAAGATTTGGCTAAAAATCTAGAATTCAAGCCTGTGGCCAAAAATGTATCCTAATTTTCCAGAGTTTCAAATCCATGATCTTGCTATTTTGCAAAATCTCATCTATTACCACCTGTCACGTGATGGTGTCTCTCTGGGGAAAGCCTGCGTGGTGTGTAAACCCTGTCTGTTCGGTGGTTTCTCCTTCTGAAAAACACCAGAAGCATACAGAAACTGTGAGCACTGTCAAGTATCATTTGCAAGTACCAAGCTTACTTTCTTGTCAGTCCAACTCCAATCTTATCCTAATCTCTGAGCTTTAGCATGATTTGGGGGCGGTTGTATCTTTTTGCTAACTGAGCGAAGAGCCTCACAGAGATAGTATGCTACATGTGCATCCCCAGGCCAGAAGTAATCTTGCTAATTGTGACCAAGCAACAGAAAGCAACTGTTCATAGAAGGTGCAAAACTTTTTGATAGTTTTGCGGCTGCTGAGGTTTTTTATCATTACACAGGCAGTCTTCCTTGAGACGCTGCAATGTCAGCAAGCTCCCAGCTTCACCCTAGAGACTGGTTCAGTGCCTTTCGTGGTATCGGCCCATGCCAGAGCAAGGGACTCTGCCTTCTCCGTGGCAGTGATGCTCCTTCAGACAAGGACCATGGCAGAGTCTTTCCTTTCTACAAGGAAATCTCAAGCTGTTGTGCCTGTATATCAGCTGGCCTGTTGGCTGACAGCTGCTTTCAACATGAAGTTGTGAAGTGAAGGTGATGCTGTGGCCATGCTGTTCAGGACTGTTGCTTGATCAGGCTAGAGCCTGGGCACAGGGTGCTGTGCTGGCAAGATCGTATGGCTGTCGCGCTCTGCCGTCCCAGCTCGGCGATGGGACAAAGCTGGGTTTGTCTGTCTGCAAACAATCATACAGACCTACGCCCAGACAAGTGAGGTTCCTAATGACTCGACATGGGGATGGTATAAGTCCAAAGGAAAAAGCATGAATTCACATTTTAATGGTTAAAGTTCTGGTCTTAATGCATCGGCAGCACTTTTGCCTTTCATTTGAAAAGGATTGGGGTTTTACATCTGATAAACCGTATACTGCACAGTGGCTTTTTGTGTTGAAGTTGTTTTGTTACGGTAACTTCAAAATTTCCAGTAGCAACAGTTAATGTAACTGTGTCTGATTTTTTTTTTTTTTTTTTTAATTAGAAGCTTTGAATTTATGTCCTTACAGAATTAAAAAGCAAGTGAAGAACTGGATTCAGAATATATTACAACTATAAAAAAAGATGTTTACATTTTTATGAATAGTCGGTATTTGCACATGTAGTGTGTGTACATGCCCCACTTAAGGACCACTTGCATGCTGTCCCTACAGGTCTTCATCTGTAAGAAAAGTCACCTGTCAGTTAAGTCTCACAATTTCCAGTGATTTTATCTGTTGATATTGGCTAATTGTCATAGTTAAGTAACAGTGCCTGACACTTAACACAAATCGAGTGCATTTCAAGGATCTGCAGAGTTTTCAACACTGAAGTTTCTCATTCTGGCATACGGCCCCTGAGGTTTATTGGCTCTGGCAGTTTCTTTTGAAGTATTTTTCTATTGCTGCTGCACATTTAATTTTTCATAAATCCATATAATTAGATTAAGGCTATTACTTCCAGTGATTCTTATCTCATTTAAACAATGGATATTTTTTGTTCAGTTCTGATTAGCATGAAAAGGAGACTTGAGTTTTCTGTAGCATTTGTCAACACAAATTGATTTTATGTGATGTCTCGATTTTATATAGTAGCACAAGCAATTTATTTCTGGACATTCACTGCCTTGAAAGCTTTCAAAAATTATATAGAATCTGGACTTGGATCCTGAAGAGTGTAGAACCAAAGCATGTTAAATAGGTTTCATTACAAAGAAGGATTTACATGCAGTTCTTTCTAGCTCAACAGGTTGTTCCATTTTGTTTGACATGCTTCAGAGGGAGCTTTGATCACTTTTTCTTCTTGGCTGGTGTAATTCTGCATTAATGTTACTGGAGGTTCACTGTTTACTTCAGTAGGATCAGTGAAGGGGTCTGGTATATTCATAGTTAACATGAGGCAGACTTGTTGGTCTCTTCATAGTGGGTTCATAAATCCTTCATAAGGAGGTTGTATTCCATCCTCTATTACTTACACACCTACATTTCTGTGCTATTACAGCAAAACTCTTCATGCTCCCTGTTACATTCCTGTGGTGCAAGTTTTCCCAATGAGAAAGCTTTAAAAACAGATGAATCTCACAGGAAAGGATTTACTAAATCATCTGAGAGATGTTTCACTTGGAGCATAAAACAGGAGACCATGGCTGTTCCTTTTTCTATCTTAATTGGTTTTTGTAGCAAAGTCATTTTGTCTCTTTTGCAGACAACTTCAGCAGCAGCAAGCAGAACTTGAAGTACATCAACGAGATGGGCTGTCATCCTATGACTTATCTCAGGTGAAATTTCTCAAGTTTTTATTTTCATGCCTCCGGTCTTTTAAAACATAAAGCAATGGCACATTTCAACAAAATTAAAAATACAGTGTGACTGTCTCTGAGTTCCTTTTTGCCAAATATGATGGAGGGAATTACCTTCCTCTGTGTATCTCAACAGGTGCCTGTTCCAAATATACCAGCTAATGTTCATGAGGGTGGAAAGTCTGTGGAAAAGCCTGATGCTATCTTCTCCCAAGAGAGAGATCCAAGATTTGCTGAGATGTTTGCTGGAATAACTGCTTGTAAGCGAATGTCTCCAATGTTTGATTTTTAATAGTATGGTAAGCTTGGTTACATGATGTAGAGCACAGCTTCAAGAGAATGAAGAGAAACTACAACATGGCACAGCAATTTCCAAGCAACGTCAATCTTCAGGACATTTCCTAGAAATTACCTTTAGTTCATATTTCCCCTAAAGATGATCAGGAGTAAATTCAAGGAGGGAAAGACAGCTTTCCTGTCACCAGAGCTACCTATTTTTGATTCTGTCTTCATTCATGCGGTGCCCTTAAGCAGTGTTCATTGATACTAAACATAGCGAGCGGACCTTGCCGTTTCTAAGTATATATTTTCTTTCTTAAACAGCAGATGTGAGTTCAGCTCTCTAAATAGACATTCATTAAGAAAGTTAACATGTAGTCTTAATGCAGGTCTGCAGTTTTTTATCAAATCACCAGCTTTTGCGTTGATGCTTTCAGGGGCATACACTGCCTTGAAGTGTAATATACTTGTTTTCCAGTCAGTTGAGGCATTTCCAGTCATGTTACCTGTCAGTGAGTCCTTACTCTTTTTCCCGCAGCTTTCAAACTTGTTGGCAAGTTCTTTTAAGAGGGATAGGAGTCTCAGAAATAGTATGTTCTTCTATATTTTGTAAAAATTACTGTGAGGACAGAGTCCTTACTGAGTGCCCTCACCAAAGGATTTCCCAGCCTTGTTCCAAGAGGTGGCAACCAACTTGTCAGTTGGACAGATGTAGCTGGCACAAACTAGCCCCAACATATGCTGCCTGTTGCCCTAACAGACAGAAGTCGTTGAGAAGATTGGCAGCTGAAGGGGTCATCAGAAATATATCTGTAGGAAACCAGGCTCATTAATTCCACTGCTTGTGGAAGAACTCGTTAATTGTTTATTGTTCTTAACTGTCCGCACTGAAAAAGAGACGTTTTTACATTTGTTTTAAATAAATCAATGTGCAAGTGTCATGCAGTGCATGAAGGAAACGACCCACAGGGTTTGATTCCAGGGATGTTGGGAGATGACCTCACTGCATTGGTTTCTTATGTCTGGCTTGGCCTTTTCAAATGGAGAAGGCATTGTAACTGCAGGATAGACTTGATACTCTGTCCTCCTGTTGCTAGGACTTCTCTGTTATTCTTCTTCATCCTTGTCTGTCTACTCTAACAGTGAAGTCAACAGCTGAGGCCATAAAAGGGGTCCATTAGAAGGTAGCAAGACTCCAACCCTAAACACCAGAATATGTTTTTCTAAGCAAGAACATCTTGCTTTTTGGCTGCCTTATTGGCTCTTTTTCAGGCAGCTCTCAGCTGTTTGTGGGGAGGGGTTAGGGTTAAGGGTCTAGCAAGCTGTGAGGTAGCGGGGAGGTTATGTTCTTGGAAATGCCATTTCTCTTTTCATTTATCTTTATCAATTTACAGGCTATGCTTTTTTTGGGACATTCACCCTGTCTGAATTTCTCATGGGAGCTGTGATCAAGGTCTTCTCTGAATGATAAAAAGAGATGGTTCACAGTTAGAGATGAGATAGGCTGTCCAAAACCAATATTGACAAACCTGCATGCTGCCTGCAAGACATTTGCATTATGTTGATACCCGATCTCATTCTCTGCTATGTTCTGTAAAAAATACAGGTTTGACATAGGGAGATTGTTGGTATAATTGCATGCAGTGACCACACATAATTAAAAAACAAAAGTAGGGAGAAGAAGCCTGGCTTCACTGATTCATGCAAGTGCCTTGAAGCGCGGGATGACGCGGTTTTTGCAGACATCTTCGTTCTGCAGGCAGAAACACTGTTCCTGCTGGGAGAAGGGCATATCATTGACCAGTACTGTGATGAGGTTTAGAGAGAAATAGGTCTAAGGATCAGGTAAAACACCAAACCAAAACAGGTTTTCAGTGCTGTTCCAAAAGTGAAAGCAGAGTAGTGTGTAAAGTCCTGAGTGGGAATACAGCTGGGAGAGATTTGGGCCATATTCAGAGGCTAAAGAGCGTTTCATGTAACTCAGGAAAGATATTTTAAAGCTGATTTAGCTGCTTGTGATTAGTTTAGCTGTTCCCTTTGTCTTGGTCTCATCCTGTGGCACAGACCCCGGTAGCTGCCATGGCAACTCTGCTCCACTTGAGGAATCCCAGTTCATTTAGGGCACTCTCAATGTTGCTGGTGAGTTGTTCTCAAATATCAAAAGTACCTGCAGGATTTTGGCGCAATGTCTTCCAACCCTGAGAGTTTGGTATTCCTGTAAAGGGTGGCCTTAGAAAATGAGACATCTCATGCAAGAATGACATTACTGCAAAAAAAGGCGAAATCATCTGTCCTTCTTGGAGCTATCCTAACCTATTCTCAATTCTTCCTACTACATAAGCAACCTTCTCTAGACTTTGTCCCCATTTCTCCTTGTCTTTTTTATACGAGAGCATAGGTTCGCAGCTCGGACTCGGTGTCTGTGCAGGGCAATATGTAGCCAGTGAGGAATTTCTACAAATTTCTACATTACAGAGGAAAAGCAATGACAGGTTGAGACAGTGGCATACTCGCTCCTTCTCTGAGGCTCCTGTGAGGTAATTGGAGGTGCCTTTTTTCACTGGGAAGATGAGTTTAGATTCTTATTAGGAACGTAACATAAGAAGAATTTAGGTAACAGAGAAGAGCTGGTGTGTGTTGGAGGCCTTTTGTGAGCCACACTCACAAGCTCTCTAAAAGCTAGGGAAAACTATAAAATACTATTACTTGTGAGTTGAGTGGGCCTTGTGTCCAGGAGATCATCTTGTGAAATGAGTGGGAATCTGAAAAGAACAAAGGGGAAAATGAGGCAGACGATTTCTAGGCGTCAGAGGTGAGTAGCAACAAATGGTTGCAAAATCATCAGCGAGTTGCATGGTGTTTGCGCTTGGAGGTAGTAAGGAAAGATGGGGAAAGTGAATAAATGGTGGTGGAGCAGACCTTTAAATTATTTTAAGAAAAGTGGTAGCAGTGAGGTTTCCCTGGGCTTTGGAATAATCCAGTGCCAGAAAATTAAATTAAAGGACTAAATGGCACTGTTCACCCAATCTCGTTTCATTCAATTAGAGATTTATCTCCAGTTGCCACATTAAAAGTAGACTATAAAAGTTAATGGCATCTCCATGAGTGTGTTATTCACTACGCTAGTCTGTCTTTCGCCCCGCTGGGACGCTTGCATCTTATTTCATGGCTCCCTCAAGCCACATACAGGACAGCAAAACCCGTGAGAGACCAGTGTCTTGCCTTGCTGCGGCTCAGGTGTGTAAGTCTTGCAGGCTCTCAGAAGCAGAGTGCCTCCAGCCACCTGTGAGATTGAAGTGCTGGTAGGGGCTGCAGGATCACCCAGGTTTGCAGGTGGGCACCTTGAGATCTGCAGGGTGACATCACCAAGCTGCTTGGGAGTCGGGTACTGCTCTCCAGGTTCTGGAGGGAAGTGGGCTGACAGCTGATTAGGACAGGGGCTCTTTGACACCATTCTTTGAGATGTTTAACCCAGCGGGGTGTGGACCCTCAGCTGCTACCTCAGTGCGAAGAGGCTGCGATAACAGCAGCAGCCCTGGAGGGCTGCTTCTGGAGCCAGAAACGTACCCTCATCTGAGGCCATCCCCAGGTAGGCCACAGAGCTGCATGTGCATCAGACCTTCTTCAGACCAGGCTTGTTTCCTGTGGCATTCCTCCATTCCCCTGGGCAGACTCTCCCATCCTCCTTCCAGAAGAGCTTTGTTCCCTTTTCCAGTCTGTAGCTGGGACCCACGCACTCATCACTCCCCACCTTGGCCAGAGCCGCTCTCCGTCTCCCATTCCCCATCCTGCCTGCGTGGTTGGGAGCAGCTTCCAGCAGGCACAGAGAAGGTCTGGGCCGCGTGGCCGGAGGGCACAGAGGAGTGTTGTGTTCCATGCAAACAATAGCATTAATGAGGGACATTCTGGGAGGAGGGTATGAGGTAGACACAAACCAGCTGTGCCTCTAGTGTCATACTGAATTGTCATATAGCCCTTTTGTGTCATTAATGTGTTACACAGGGCTTCTTCATGAAGCTTTAAGAAGGGAAGAACAATCCCTGCTGTGTATATATGTTGAGATTTTCATTAAATAATTTTGCCTTTGTTTTCACATCCCCTAAACTTTTCTCTTTCTGTGGTTTGCTTTTCTTTTGTAGCAGATAAAAAAATGATGGCCTCAGCATCCACAGCAGGAAACCAGCAACTTTACTCACAAGGAAGCCCATTTCAGCCAGGACATTCAGGAAAGACTTTCAGGTACTGTAGTCCAGATCCTGAGCGTATCCGCTTCTGTCTGATAGTGGGGGACTGTCGTCTTTGATCTAATGGAAACAAAACTGACCTGAAGTGCAAAGGCTTTCTTTACATGGATGAACTACGTGATGTCTCAGCCTTTAGGCTAGGCTTGCAAACTGAGATGATGTGGATATCACTGTTAAAAGTAGTGGCTGGTAAGTAGATACTTGCAGCTGTGATGACGTCTTTGGAAAAAATCTTAAGCAGCAACAAATCATGAAGGGAATTAGAGGTGATGGGACAGGCTCAGAGGTCCGAGGAACAACCAATCAAGCTAGGAAGGTGGAAAGATTTGTTTTACACTTACAACTGGCAGTACTTCTGCAAGCTGCCTTGAAGGGCATCAGTGTGGACACCTTACTAAATGGAATAGGGGGATGCTTCATCCATAGTCCCTGGTGAGGGCTAGGACACAGGCATGAATAGTTTTCTAAGGCAGCTTCCAAATACTCATAAGGTGGTGGTCTGGCATTTTCTGAGGCATTTTTGAGTTTGAATTCAAAGTGCATGTCATCGCCTACCAGCTGGCAATACAGATTTGGCTAAACTGAATTTTAAGAGTTTGCCTGCATTTCCAGTCACTTTTTGAGAGTGTGGTAACAGTGATCATATTTATCTTAGTGCCTTTCGTATCACTGTTCTGGGACTGTGATACTGAAGTTCCATTCTCCTGTTTTAGACCAACCAAGGTTGTGAAACTGGAAGAACAGCCCTTCAGAGGCTGTCAGTTCCAGGAATTAGAAAACATCTGCAAACGATAATTTTATTTAAACCAATATGTTCTTAAAGTTGTAATTGCTAATGAACTCATCAGGGAGAACTGAAATTACCGTGCGTGTGTTTTGTCAAATTAAAACCAAGAATAACTTGGGGGGGATATGACAGTAAATTAAAATGTCTTTTAATTGGCTATTGTATATTACTGGATGGTTGACTTGCCGTCTTGGGGTTTGGTGTGTGCTTTGTTCATTTCCTTGTTAATTCCTAATGTTTAACTATAGGGTTTTTTCCTACTGCTTTTCTATTACATCAAGTAATGACACATCTGCCAGCATTTCCACCCTCGATGAACTGTCCTCCCTGAATGCTCTCCAGGCTGATCCGTTCGGTCACTGAGCCTGGGCAGCCTTTAGGCACTATTTTGCAGACTCCTGGTTTCAAAGCATATATTGCAGATGCAGTCCAAGCGCCTCAGATGATGGGACTTGCCAGTCCAGCTGGGAAGGTGTCGGCAGTGAGGCCAGCCCTCCCCAGCAGCTCTTGTGTGCTTCCGAGTTCAGCCAAATTTAGATGGACTTTCTGGTCCACATTTCCCGCTTTGGAGACTCGGTGGTAGTTTAACTTAAAAAAACAAATATAAAAAAATAGAAAACAAACTCTACAAAGAATTTCTAAGCACACACTTTGCTTTTAGGCAGCTTAAGAAAGACAGAATAACAATTCCCATATTCAAATGCCTGCCACGTTTTGCTTACCGCTCTGGGAGGGATTTTGTCAGTCTTCTCAGAGGATTCAGATTCCTGCTTCTTCTGTGATCAGCCTTGTTGACTTCTTTTCCCAATCTTCTCTCTTCTTTCTCTGTAAAATGATTGTGAAAATAGACAATAGGGAAGGGATTGGAGAAAAAAGCAAGCTGTTTCAGTTGATGCACAAAAGCATTTTTATATGTTGTGTCTTCATTTATATTCATTTAGATATTTATATATGACATGTAAAATAATAAATACATAATTTTATGTATAAAATATATAAAAGCATATTCACAGTGTGTTGTTATATAGATTCAGTTGTTCAAGACTTTCATGAGAATAAAATCATAAAGTGGAGCAGTTCTTCATAAAATTTTCCTTCTAATTAGGAATTTCTGAGAAATTTCTCTGTAGTGAAATTCACTAATTAGGAAACAGGTAACATATAAACAAGTTCCTTTGGCAATATTTTTTTTTAAGTCCAAAGCTATTACATTAGTTTAAGTTTTTGTCTTGATTATTCTTTTGCGTGGGTATATAACTGCATGCTCTTTTTTAGCATCAACTGGTGAAAATTTGAATTAAAAGCTCAAATTTTTAATATATAACACACAATTCTTCATTTCCCAGGTAGGAAACAAATAAAGAAGTACTTTTAAGTATCGTCTTTTTTTGCGTCTTCATGTAGGATGGCATTTAAGCAAATGCTTAAATACTGTTGACTTTCAGGACAAATTTAAAATTAAGCACTTGCTTGAATACTCTCCGCAAGCAGGTTTTTTAATGCATTAAATACTAAACTAGTATGGAGCCAAGAGTTTATGCACTGTGTGTTTAGACTGATTTTATTCTTGCAGGCCTTTCAAAGAGATTATAGAAGTCTATAAAAGAAAATAATTTTGCCCTCTGTGTCTTTTTGAACTGACATTTTAGAATGCCAGTGTTTTGTAGTTTTGTGATGGCTTTAAGTCATTTTTTATTAAGGCAGATTGAACAGTTACTTTTAAAATTATTATCAAAATTTCCATATCTAGAATATTATCTGTGCATTGAGAATATATCCTACAAATGAGGCTCTGTTTTTGTTCCTTTAGTTCATCTGTGGTACATGTGCCTGGTGTGAACGACATCCAGTCTTCTTCATCAACAGGCCAGAATCTGACACAGATATCTCGCCAGCTAAATCAGAGTCAGGTTGCCTGGACAGGAAATCGCCCACCATTTCCAGGACAGGTATTGATTAAAGGTGTTTTATTTTCATGGTTGTTAAAGATTTGCAATCTCTGTGCTTTTTACAAAAGAATTAGTAAACCCCACTCGTAACGTGATTAAATATACTTTGTCGTTCTCGTTGAGAAATCGGTTCCCCCACTTCTGTTCCTTGGCAGGTTATAATAATTTGAGACAGCTGCCCTACGCATAACTGCATTTAATTTGTAGTAGTGTTCATAATAGTGGCAGTCACTATGCTGACATAAATCCCAGCGGGAGGTCTTGGTCCTGCACTTATTTTTATATGTGCACTGAATGAAGTAAAAGAGGACAGCTGTTACGCTTTAGTATTAAGTCTTTGAATTACGTCTTTCTTGGACCAAGACCTTGCAGCTAGCAATGTTACCCACAGTTAGCAGAGTTATCAGAAAGGGCACATACAAATCCAGGCATGAAGTCAGAGCGGAGGCTACTTAGCCCATTGCCCCTCCATTAGTACTGCCTGGTGTGGCTTACACTGTGTCATGTGCTGGAGGAAACAGCACATCGCTCCATCAGATGCCCTGCGTTTGATGATGTTAGCCCAGAAATCACCTCTTGTTCCGTGTAACAAAAAAAACCTGTTTTGAAACTCAGTTAAAGACAAATAATATGAAATAATCATGTTTGATCTATCATTAATGCTGTTCTTAATCACTCTTGACTTTCCATTGTTCCGTAGGCTAGAATGGCATGTTGGCGGGCACTAAATAATTTTTCAGTAACTGAATTATTTCCACATTAATCACTGATTCTTCCCAGCCCTTGCTGTGTGCCATGGTTATTGTCACACCTGTTTAATGAAATGCAGTCGTAACATTAACTTTTTTTTAAATGATACGGAGGATGCTAAAAGTAACTAAAAAAAAATTACTTATCCCTCTTACTGTCCAAATTCTGTCCAAGTCAACAGAGTTTGTATGTGAGTGAAGGGAAACTGGAATTCTTTCATCCGTTGTAAATAAAGTGAAATAGAGTTAAGCCTTGCAGAAGTGACACGTCATGTTCTCACTGTCATTGTGGAAACCTTTAGAAATGTATGATTTCTTAGCTTTGAACTGAGCTGAAGACTTAGTAGCATCTTCATCATGTTATATGCCTGTTGGGATCTGTTTTCCAGCCCCAGCTCCTCTGCATTTGTCCAAGACAATAGCTTCACTTGAGTGCATTGATTGCCAGTAACAGTGCACATCATTAGAATTATCCAGACATGTAGTCACCTTTAATTTCTATTTGTGGAATTGGTTAGGCAGTGAGTTTTTCTTGGAATTGCTGAATTTGTTCATAATGTGGGAAATGATTTATAAGCAGATTCTGTCAGTAGCGTTATACGTTGCTGTACACATGACTTTGGATGAGACACTTCACCTCCCTTAGTCTCAGTGTACATGTTGTACATGTCTCATAGCAGTCTGCAGTGTTTAATCATTTGCGTAACATTCTTGGGATCCTATGACGAAGCCATTAGGTAGATGAAAATGACAACAAGTTGGTTTTTAATACCCTTGAATTAACTCAGTTGCCCAGTTAAAGCAAAGTTAGACTGTTCCTTCCCTCCTCCCAGGGCTGGTGATTCACATTCCCTCACAAGCCTTTTACAAGGCAAAATAATTTTGCTGCCTGTACCTCTTAGGCAGGGAGAGAAAGCAGCTCATTAGCTTTGAAACTTCTTTGACTTTTTACTCCCAAGCACTGGAGACTCTGGTCATCTGAGAACTGTATATATTCTGCAAGGCATTCAGATAACCGTGGTTTTACTGTGGCACTGCAAAATGAAAACATCTGGCAAATAAAGATGAATTCTTTATACCTGTTCAGTTTGAGATTAATCCTTGTAATAGAGGTGAAGGAAATCATGTTTTTCCAAATAGCTGTGATATTGAGTACGTGTGATTTAATCAGCAGGAGAGCTGTAAGTGTTGGTTTGCAGTCTGTTGTGTTCCTTACACGGCAATAAGTTGGCTTTGACAGAAATGAAATATAGCTGAGACAGGAATAACGTGCCTGTTCACTTCTGCAGCATTTATTTAGTCTTTGCTTTACGTTGTTAAAAAGGGAGTCTGCTGTGTAGATCCTCAACAATAAAACTCATTCCTTCTTTTACCCTTTATTCCTCAGCAAATTCCATCTCAGTCTGGCAAGGCTCAGTCATCTCCCTTTGGGATTGGAACAAGTCACACCTACCCAGCCGACCCATCATCATACAGCCCCCTTTCCAGCCCAGCCACCTCTTCTCCGAGTGGGAATGCCTACTCTAGCTTAGCAAACCGAAGTGCAGGGTTTGGTAAGTTTTAAATGATGTAACACAGAAAACGCCCATAAAAATGAAAAGTGTTAACTTCATTAAAAATCCTCCAACCTGTTCTTTTGGTGGGTCGGTGGGGAAGCCCAGGTGGTGAAAGGGTTTTGCTTTCTCCTGTTGAGCACAGAGGACAGAGGTGACCAGTTCCCTCCATGCTGCATCTCCTCCACATCCAACACACTTCAACATATTGTGGCATTTTATGGTACAAGGGAACTCCTTTTTCCCCAGTAAATGGTGTCATGAAAGAATCAGAAGTTGTTTACATCACTAGTACACATCCTCCCAAATTGTGGTCAGAAGGTTCAATTTCTTTTCACTTCTCAGGAGAACTTTTATATGGTATAAATTTACATTCTTTTCATTTTTCAACTTCCCTGACTCCATAGTGGTGTCCTGTTGCCCAGAGATGGCTTGTTGGAGTTTGGTTGGAGACAGGATTTTTTTTGTACCCCCACCGCTAGTAACCTAATCAGAGTAGGTGCTATGTTTTGAAATGGTTTTCTGGTTTTCTTTTCCTATTACATGCTAATTTAGTGGCTTTCAGACCATGACCCAGTGGCAAGTTTTCTGCGCTCCACAGCAGAATAATATTCAAGAGTAAAAAATATTATGGATCCATCAGTGATAAACACACATGGAGTCCATGAAAAATGTTGCTGGCTGATAATTATGTGCAATTCCAAAAAGCATAGGTAGCAGTGTGCTAACGTGTGTCATTTTTCTCTTGTCTCTTGAGAATAAAATTGGCACGGACCTGTTGCAGATTAGCCTCGCTGAGTGCAGACCTGCGCCGTGTTGAAAAAGCGCATTGAAACTCGGAGCTCTTCCCACAGAGCTTATTCATGCCTCCATTTCCATTTCCACCAGGCTTTGTACATTTGTTTATGAGACAGCCTTGCATTTCAGGCCTAAGCTACTTGGCAAGAACCCTTTCATCTAATGAGAAACATTTCCTGACCTACATCAGTTTGGATACTATTAATAACACAGCCTTCACAGAGATGAATGTATTGAACCTCCGGCTGGCAGTAACCCCTTTGCTGAAAAGAAGCATCGTTTGCCTCACTGAGTTAATTTCAGTGTATTGTTCTGAGAAAAAAAATCAAAACTTGCAGCTTTCTTTTAAAGGGTAACTTAGATGAATTTTGGTTTGGCCCATAAAATGCCTGCAGGGTTTCTGAGTCAGCTGAATTATTGGTTGTGGTAATGTCAGTAAGGGAAGAGCTGTAATTATCTACTTCAGTTGTGATAGAAATACATCACTACAGCCTGTTTACTTTTCTGTAAAATGTTCACTTTATCCGTTTTGCACTGTTTAGCTGGTAGCCCAAAGGATTGGATTAAGCACATGTTTCTGTATTTTCTGAAGCCGTGACTATGAGTAGTGACTGATTTGACATGATCGAGTCTGGTTATGAGACCTGACATTACACGTGTGTGGAAGTTTGGCACAGGAAATTTGGCACCCTTGGCAGAGGGTGCTGATAATTGCGGAGAACCAGATCTGCCCAGCTTGGTTCACTGTAGTGAGGGGAAAATAGGCAAAAATAGTTGCAGTAGTTACATAAAAAAGGAGGAAAAAAAGAGGAAAAAATGTTTGGAGGAAACTCATAAGCCTGGTGGCGAGCTTTCTAAAATGCTAATTCTTAGAAGGAGACATTGTAAATAATTGAAGGAAGATTATCCAAAAATTAATACATTTGGGGCCAGTCTGTAGAAATACATGGTAAAATGAGTCCAGCTTAAGTGTGACCTGTGGCTGTACTCATGAAAATTGTATGTGTAATAGGTGACCAAATTAATTTATGTGGCATCATGTTTTTTCTTGTTAAAAGCGGGGCGAGGGTGATGCTTGAAAATTGTCTTCCAGTACCTGGCTTGTGGCGTCACTGTGTTTTGCTGTGAGCAGTTCACCTGCCGCGTCCGTGCAGCCGCGGCAATGAGCTTTGCTCTTGGGTTGGCCCCCACTCTGCAACCAGGGCTGAAACTCCCTTTGGCTTCCACCCCACGAGGGCAGGGTGTTACTCAGGGTCTTTTTTCTAAGACTCATTTGCAAACACAGGAATTGATAGATAAAGCCTCAAAAGCAGGCAGGCATTTTGAAGGAGCTGCTCTCTGATTTCTGCCCCTCCTCTCCCTGTCCAGCTGAAGGTGGCCAGAGCAGTGGCCAGTTCCAGGGGAGACCTTCCGAAGTCTGGTCCCAGTGGCAGAGCCAACACCACAACCAGCAAAGCGGCGACCAGCATTCGCACCCGCAGCCCAGTCAGACCGAGGTGTTCCAGGTGAGGAGAGTTCAGCGAGCTCGAAGTCCATCTGACAATTTCTTGTTGCTGAGTTGAAGAACTGTGGCCCTCGACGACTGGGCTGGTAGCAGGCCTTGGAGCAATTACCTCTTGCCGTGTGCTGCCGTGGGTTTGCACTGCTGTTAGCTGGCATTAGCTACAACTGAGATGGTTTTGTTTTCTGCCAAAGAACAGCACGTTTGCTGATTTAAAATGCTGTTTTCCATTCTCTTTGCACCCTATTCTTAGACTTGCGTGTTTTGCAGGGAAACCGTGAAATAGTCCCAGATAGAGTGTCTGTCTTTTCCTGGTGCTGGCCTCTAAAATCCCGGTCGAGTCCAATTAAACATCACTGTAATTCTTTTTTGATAGTTCATGCAAGAAAGGAGTCTGATACTGCATAGATGATAGTGGCCAATGATTTTTTAAGGTTACACGCAGTTGGCTATCAGATAGCTGGTAAACAATCCTCTTCAACTACCTAATCTTGAACTATTAAGTATAATTTTGGGCCTTCACGACAGATGGAGTGGGACTTTACAAATTAACTAATAAGTGTCTGACTGTGTATAACTTGCTTTTAAATTAGATCCAGAAGACAGTTTGCAAGAAAACAATGCAGATAAATGCAGAAAAGACAGTTCAAGCCCCAAACAAGGTTTAGAAGTGGGGCACCTCATTATCTTTTAGAAAGTAAATTCACCTGCAAGACCAGGCTCGTGCTCACTTGCTCACAGGAACACTGCAGAAGAGAGGTTAGCCTGAAAATATTCCTGTGTGAATGAACGATTGCTTCACACAGGAACAAGTAACATCACTACATCTGGAATAACTACCTGTCCGCATGCTCTTACCCCATGGCCCAGGCAAGATTAATCTGTTGCATCGCTCTCTGTTAGCAAAGTTTAATTGCTTTGCACGTACTTTAACCCAAAAGTATATTCAGGGTAATTCCATGGAGCCAACGGCAGCATGGTTTGATGGCTGACAGAGTCACGGGGTTCCAAGGAGCATCTTGCTTTGTCTCAGGCAAGTGCTGCGTCCTGGCAAACATCTTATGAAATTAGTGGGAAGGAGGGCCGAGGGAGAAAGGGAATACTGGCCTCACCTGCAGAGCTCTTGGATGTGACTGTGCATTTGGAGGGAATTAGGATAATAGCTGGATGTGATGAGAAACTTGGATGAGTTCAGTTCAAAGGCCACCAAGAAGTTGCTTGGACTGTTTGCACCTGAAGCCAGCCCTGGGTTAGCTGGACATAAGGAGAGAGGCAGATGCGAGAGGGGAGCTACCCTGCCAGGTCTGTACCTAAGAAGACCTTGCCTCAGAGGCCCCAGCAACAGAAATGCCTTCAAAGAGATGGAAATTTAAACAGGCAGGGGCAGCTCCAACTTCCCCTTGGCTGGGGAGGAATGTGGGAAAACTTAGTAAGTGCAAGTTTTGGTCAGAAAACACAGGTTGACCCTGGCAGCTGAGAAACTGCCAGTTGTGTTCACAGCCTCTTTCACCATCCATCGACAGGGATGGATTTTAATCTGTCTTTATTTTGGGGTAACTTCTCAATACACAGCAGCCCTCAGTAGTTATTCCTTCACAGAGCAGATCCTGTGAGCTTTCTTATTTGCTCTTTAGGTTTTGTTGTACTGTAAGAATAATGAGCCATCCCTCTGGCAAAACTTGACTTTGCAGTAAGAGCTTATTATTATAAGGACTGACAGGAAAAGCAAGCGTAAACTCTGGTTTTCTCAGGAAGGGATATCTTTTCCCTGTGGCTTCGGTCCCTGCGGAGAGGAAAGGTTTTTTGAGGTTTTTTTGAAGCCTCCTGCAGGGACCTCACTTGGCTCAAGACACGTGGGAGCAATTACCATGAAGTCCCATTTCTCCTGAGAAGTTCCTGCTATTTCCTCTGCCTTTGTACATGCATGAAGGCTGCTTGGGCATCTTGTTAGCTGGGGTGGATGTCCAGTCTTTAGTGTTCCTCAGAGGATGAAGAGCAGCAATACGTTCACGTACAGAGTCAGGAGGTGAGACCCTCCCCAAACCCATGCTGATAGAGCAAGAGCTCCATTCTGTAGGGTGTGGGTGTGAGGCATTGAATACTTCCCATATAGTGAAACGACAGAGTTTGCTTCTCTCCATATGTAGCTACCCATTCCAAGGGGAGCTGTTTCAGCCTGGGAGAAGTATGGGGCAGCTCAAATGTCCCTTATTCAGAGGAGCAATCCAAAACATCTGCCCTGCTAAAGTCCCACCTCCCATTCAGAAACACTCCAACAAAACATAAGTAGCACATAAACCTTAGCCCAGCCCCCTGCACAGGTCTGGTTTTCACCTTGTTTATCTAACCTTTGGCCTTTCTGGTTTTAGACTGAAAAGATGAACAGGAAACAGTTTGTGTCTGGATAACGTGTTTGCAAGTGACACTCTGCTTTGATTTTTTCTTATCATGCAGGACATGCTGCCAATGCCGGGAGATCCAACGCAGGGTACTGGCAATTACAACATTGAAGATTTTGCTGACCTGGGCATGTTTCCACCATTTTCTGAGTAGCTTGTGAAGCAGAAATGGAAGTTCTTCTCCAAGGCCATTTCAGTGTAATTTTGGCTCTGCTTTTTCTGTGTTGCATTTCTGTAGAAGCTACTAAACCAGAAGACACATTTCTCATGTTTCAAATAGTGGTGTAGGGCTTGCTCTCTCCTCCCTGGGGTGCGTCAGTGCCGACAGAGGAGCTCCAGCACTTGTTAGTGTTCACTGACAGCTCCATTTATTTTTTTTATTTTATTGTCATCTACCTCAGAGATGAAAAACTTTGCTTGATTTAAAAAAAAAAAATCTCTGAGTCTTAAATATTGAATGTGAATGATACCTAATACTTCTTTTGAATGGTAATTTTTAAATAGATAACAAAGTAACAAAGACTAACAGAGAAGAGGTAAGGTCATGTCTTGTTACAGTGCCTACCGCTCAATTTCGATGCCTTGCTTTACGCTTAAGTTTTTGGAAGCAGACACAATATTCTGTTTTCTTTGATTCTTGTAGGTTTTAGGTCACTTTAAATGGGAGATTAAGCAACATAACGTAGGCCTCTCTCACCAGAAGATTCAGCTCCACCTTTTCTAACTTAAACTTGAATGTGTGTACATTTTGTTACTTTATGTATATCTTAGATTCACAGAATTGTTTAGGTTGGAAAAGACCTTTAAGATCAATGAGTCCAACCAAACTCTTGTGCTGTACGAAGTAATTTCCTGTACCGGTTTCTTTTGCCCTTACAAAGGGACCATTCTGGAGTCTACTGAAAAGGTTGACGATACATGTGGAGGATTTAGGTATCATGGGAGTCTCCATCACTTCACCTAGGTGTTCTTACTTTTAATTTGGGTGGTTCTCTATTCAGAACAAACATTTACTTACGTAAGCTATTAGTCTGTTTTTGCACTGAATTGAGGCCTATAACTCTATACATTTCTCACTGGCTGCTTTAATTTCTATTGTTCTTGCTTTCTTAAAAATATTTGCCTCATCAAAAATGACTGTAAACACATCAAGATTGCATTTTCTATATTAGCTGCATTTCCCTTCTGTGACGTACTTTTTTATACTGTGAAACGTCATATTTTAACAGTGCAAGGTGGTGGCCTATTACTAGGAAATCATTCAAGCTCATTTGCTGCAAGCAGTGAGATGGTTTTGTAGTGTATAATTTTTTTAGAGTGAGTTGGTAATAGATATCAGTTGGACGATTGTCCACTGCATACACAGTGATAACTTGAATTTTTGCTTGGATTCCCAAGCAATCGCTTCTGTTAAACCCTGTTAACACTATTATGTTAAATATGGGATTTTCAGCTTACCAAGTATGTTGAGGACTCTTGACTATTCTGAATGCTACATGCTTTTCTGCAGAGGTAAGTTTGTCACCTTCCTCTTGGGCGAATCACCTACCATATGTCTTCATCAGAAATGTGGTAGAAAGTTTTCTGTTTGGTATTTCATAAGCATTATAAGTTACAAAGGTTGGGTTGTAAGGTCAGCATTTTTATCCAGATCATTTCTTCTCACATGGGAGGGGAAGGTATCACTCACAAAGGACAAGGAGCCCAGAGTTCCTGCATGCAGGTTGTTCGTAACCTTTGAGGCTGGACGGTGGTAGCCAGCCTTTGCAGAGGAGGAAGGGGGCAGCTTCCCTCAGCCTTTGTGTATTCAGGGACCATCAGGGACCTTGAAACAGCAACCCCAGGGCATAGCCCCATCTAGAAGATCTCAACATCCACAGCAATTCTTAGACTTCACAGCACTAAGGTCTGCCTTCTCGTAGCTCCTCTTGAATTCTGCGGTGCCTTCTGACAGGAGGCACCGTGCACATCACTGCAGTCCATCTTGTCATGATAATATCTTGAAAAGCAGGCAGGCCCCTGTCCTGCAGCCTGCTCTGGCCACACAGGTTTCATGCTGACGAGCAATGCGGGCGGCTGGGCTGCAGAGAACACAACCCAGGGACACGCCTTTAGCAGTTAACCACATGGTGGTGGTCCCATCTGACTTGGCTTTCCTGGTCTTCTCCGAGAACAGCATGTAGTTTTCAATATCCAGGAAGAGTCCTTCCTACTGCTTCTCTCGCTAAATCTGGGACCAATCTCTTACCCTGTGTGCAAATGGGGCTAGGGACTCTTTTTTTTAGGAATTTTTTTATATCTCTAGATGCAGTACTGCAGAGGCCTCAGATCTTCTGGTCTGTACTTGCCTCACCAAAATCACGCTGAGAACAAACAAAAAACCTCGTATCTCTTCACTCCCAGAGACTGGGAAAGTACCTTCTTAGGTGAGCAAGTCATGCGCTTACGCACTATTCTTTTAAATACATGGATGTTTATTCTCTTGGAGCCTTCTTCCTTTCAGCTCACGCTGCTCAGACCAATGACTGCTCATTGAACTAGGTAGGCAAAGCTCTGCTGTCCCAGAATGAAATTCATTGGTGTCTGTAAAAGGTGCCGAGATGCTGCACTGGCTGGAGCGAGGTGGTCAGCGTCTGTACAGTGGGGCGTGCTTTTAAAAGGGGCTAATCATGACAGAGAGTGAGCAGTAGATGAGCAGTTTATATCTCTGCACAGAAGACGCTTGACACGATGAATGTCAGTTCTTCTAAAATTTTTTTTAAAGTCTCTCTGTAAAGTGAAAAATTAATTGAAAAAATACTGTTCCTCTGTTTATTTTACCCAACAAACTACTCAAAGTATATTTATAATTTACTTTTGTTACTGAATTCAATCTAAAAATAATTTTTTAAAGTAATTTTCTTTCTCCTAGCATCAGCGATGATAGCTTCCTTAGTGTGTCATGGTTTTGATACTACTGTAGAAGCCTTCTCATGTACAGAATTTGGTTGTGCAGTTAGAAGTGCACTGTTAGCAGAATTTCAAGCACATCTCTCTGTTTTGTTGTTTTTTAAATACAGTATTATTTTTTTGAAGCCGGCATGCTTGAGGCATCAGAGCATGGACTTGCTTCTCGCCTTGTAGACCATTCCTGCCTTTCTGGTTGGGAAAGGGGCTGGCTACTCAGTTAAGGGGCAGTCCAGATAGTGCCAGGTTTGGTTTTTCCCTGTGAGCCATTATCGTCCCCCATTTCTGTTCTGCCATCCCGAGCCAGTGCTTTCTTCTTGGCGTTTCCACCCTTCCCCACCTCCCCTCCCGTTCCCGGCCATCCCGTCTCTGCAGCGCTTTCCCACGCCCGCGTGGGAGGCGTTGGGTCACCGTTCCCGAGCCAGCGAGGAGGGAGCGCTTAATGGGCTTAAAGTTTGGCAACTTTGTGCTTCTGACTGAGCGAACGAGCAAGTTCAACATTTGCTACCGCCGCTGGGCATCCTGCGCTGCCCTCGCCGTGTGCTGCTGTCGTGTCAGTGGCTTGCTCCTCTGAAACAGCCTCGTCCCAGGTCTTGTGGCCAAAAAAGCTGCGTAGCGTTGGCTGTGCTGTACCTTTTTGTCACGTGTTTCATTACTAAAGCAACTTATCCTATAGCTGCAGTTATAAAGCGCATTTGGAATGCTAATGTTTTTATTACGTGCCATTGGTGTAGCTTTGCTGGCACTTTGGCTGCCAGTTTCCAGAATTTCACAGGTGGTGGATTTCTTGTTTCTTTTGTATTTTTTAAGCTGGAAATAAAGCTGTGATTTCTGTCAAACTGTGTTGCAAACACGGGGTTTCTTGAAACTGAATCATTTGGTTTTTAAACAGATAGAGCAAAAAACTGCAAATAATAATGGTCTGAGTGAGATATGTCAGTGAGCAGGCATATAGACTGAGAAGATTTTAGATACTAAATATTTACATTCCTTTATTCAGACAAGCAATCCCGTTTAACAAGAGGGACTCCATCGCATTGCTTGTTACAAGTGCTACTGGCAGTATCTGTGGTGATGCTTTAACCAGATAGTTCCATTTGTAGCTTTGTTGCCTGTTTTTTCTTTTGAAGTACAGTATGAAACTGTAAATACTTCTTGCAGTACTGCCTTTTTAACTCTTAATTACTTTGGGCACAGTGTTAAATAGTGTTGGATTTACCCAATTGCTATGACATATATTTTTATACATAGGTGTACTCTTTTTTCGAGAATAATACAGCCATTTTGTCATTAATGCCTTATCAGTGTCATACTGCTGTTGCTCTTTGTTTGCAAGGTATCGAGTGGACTAATTTCTAGCTCAGATATTTTCACTTTTCCTGGCAGTGCTCAAGTTTGGCTTCAGGTGATTTTTGCCAGAGTCCCATTTTTCACAGTTGTTAGCTGTGAGAAGAGGAGAATGTGGGTTTTTTTCTGTTAATGGAGCAAAGAAAAGGTGATGGCATCTAATTATCTTTAAAAGGTCAGTCTTTTCCTATTGTAAACCAGAGTGCATTTCATGGAACTGATGACTGTGGGCACTGATTACTTTATGTAGATTAATGATCTTTAAAAAAAAAAAAAAAGAAAACAACTCCAAAAATGGGCTTCTGTCATTGTTAGGCACTTGGTTACTTATCTGTTTAAACTCTTCATATTGATGTGAAATTGTGCTGTGGATAAAGTGTATTTTGTACTTCTGAATGTTCTATATTTATGACTAACAAGTACAGAATCGTTGTGTGTATGTATAACTAATAACTGCCTTTTTAAATTTCATTAAAATAAAAATGTCATGAGCTGTTGTTAATTCCTGTCTTTCTGTAAATAAGTAAGTTATGCTGTTGGGAAATAACCCTGAATTACAAGATTCAGGCCAAAAATCAGAAGATTAGGCATTGATCTTTCTCTTTGAAATCTCCTCCTGTGCTGTGTGGTTGTGGATGGGAAGTTCCCTTTTATCTGTCTTGTATAAAGGCTGTCCAAGGGAGAGCGGGAGAGGAATGGTAGTTTGAGATCTCGGCTTTTAAAAGAAGTTCCAGGAAAACATTCATTAACAGCCCAGTTCTGCTGATGACCCGGAGGTGTGTGAATCGGTATCTGTATTGTAGAGGGTTTCATTAGAGCACAATTGATTTAGAATTCATTCATGGTCTGTGGCAATTTTTA